TCCTACTGCAATGCTCTCCTATTGCAATGCTCTCCTATTGCAATGTTGTCCTATTGCAATGCTCTCCCATCGCAACACATCCGTTTTTGCAACACCCTCGCCATTGCAACTCTCTCTTGCAATGCCATTTCCCAAAGCAAATTGCCCCCCCTTGCAATGCACTCCCCATTGCAATCCTCTCCTTCTTGCAACCCACTCGCCTGCTTGCACTTGCTGCAATGCTCTCCCTCCTGCAACCTGCTTGCCCACTGCACTCAGATCCTTGCTGCAATGCTTTCCTCGTTGCAGCATGCTGCCCCATTGCAATGCACCTCCTGTTGCAACATGCTTTCCTCTTGCAGCTGCCCCACTTTTGCAATGCCAGCCCATTCCGTGCTGCAACCCAGCCCCCCTCACTGCAACCCATCCAGCTGCTGTGCCACCACCCCTGTTGCAACGCAACTCCTGCTGCAAAGAGCTTTCCCACTCTTGCAAGCTCCTGATTGCACTACCTTGTTGCAACGCCTTCCTTGTTGCAACGCCTTCCTTGTTGCAGTGCCTTCCTCCTTGCAATGCACAGCTCCCTTGCACTGTGCTCCCTGTTGCAGGTACGGCCGGCGGTCCAGCAGCCGGGCGCTGTGTGAGGAGCCCATGGGTGCTGCTGGGTGCTGAGCGCCGGGTGCGGTGCTGACTGCGTGGCCCAGCAGTGCCTGGGGGGGGGGCCCGGGCGCGGGGTCCTGCAACATCTGCAGCCCCTCAGCCCCCCTCACATTGCCCCCAGACCCCCAAAATAAACCTCATTGCAGCCACCTCCTGCTTCTGCCTGGTGCTGGGGGTGCTGGGAGCTGGTGCTGGGAACGGGCGCAGCAGGGTGTGCAGTGGTGTGCGTGCAGCTGTGTGTGAGCATGGAGAGCAAGGGTGCAGCTGTGCTGCTGTCTGTGCCCAGCGAGCACGAGGTGTGTGCACAAGTTGTGCACTGTGCACACTTAGCACTGCACTGTGCACACTTAGCAATGAATTATGCACACACAGCCTTGCACTGTGCACACTCAGCCTTGCACCATTGCTCTGTGCACACGCGTCCACCAGTCTTTGCGGACGGTTGGAGCTCCTCCCGCCAGAGCCGCTCTGCACTGCGCTCTCTGTGGTCCGAAGTCCTCCAGGCGGTGCAGCGGCGCTTTCCGTCCACCAGGTGGCGGTACAGAGCACTGCGCATGCGCAGACCCTGCCTCAGTTTCCCCACCCGACCCCACCGGGTTGGGCTCTGCACTCATCTCAGTGCCCCCCGCCTGGGTCTTCCCGCCCCCCCCCCCCCATAGCAATGACCCCAATGAGGACCCCAACCTGTAATTAGCCCGCAATTAATGACCTTCAGTGGTGCTGCTGGGGCTGCTATGGGGGGATGTGGGGACAGGGGGGGCGCCGTGCTGCATCTCTGCATCCCCTCTGTCCCCCTGCCCCACGTTGGGGGGACACCCGGGGGTCCTCATGTCCCCGTGTTCCCAAATCCCTGTGTCCCCACATCTCAATGTCCTTATGTCCCCATTTCCCCACTTCCCCTTTTCCCACACCCCCGTCCCCATGTCCCCCCACCCTTGGCTCACCCCTCTGTGGCGCTTTTGTGCCTTTTCTTAAAGTGAAAGAGAAGAAAAGCAGCTCCCGTGTCCCCAGACCCACAGAACTGGGGCAGCGCAGGGTGGGCACGGTGCAACCCGTGTCCCTTCCGCCCCCCATGCGCGTCCCCCCGCCACGACGTCCCCTCTCCCACCGATGCCTTTATCCCTGAAAATGCATCTTTGGCCCCATTTTAGCACACAGAGGGGGTTTGTGGGGCTGGGGAGGGGTGCATGGGGGGGTCACTTTGTGTGTGCGTTTGCACACGTGTGTGCAGTGCCCTTCACCCTGCAGCCAGGAGATGTCAGCACAGCTGCAGGCAGCGGAGTTGGGCTGGGTGTGAGGGTGTGCACACGCGTGCTTGCACAGTTTGCACACGCAGATCCATGCCTGCCCGGCTCTGTGCGTCCCCCCATTTGCACAGCTGCACACGTGCCATGCATGCATGCACCATCCGTGCACGCTGCTCTGTGTCCCAGCAGCACGATGTGTGTGCGGG